TTTTCTACCTGCACTTAACCTTTCCTTCAAGGAAACGGGGTAACCTCGCTCGCTAAATAAGAAAATTACTCACTGGATTAAAAAAATGATAAGAATGTGAAAGAACAGATGAAACTCTCTATCATCAAGCTGGAAAGGTGATATAGTTTTAATGCTAACTCTTCTATATTGAAGAAAAAATGGCAGATTCTGATGGACTATTGTAAAATGCAGTGTAATGGCAACAAGAGGATTTATCAATTACAATTTAAGTGATCCCTTCTTATTAGGTATATTATAAGCTAATAATAAAGACTATGATCACAAACCTAACTCTCATCATAGTGCTGTTAAAACAAACTGAGTTGTATTTTGTAGTCCATTTATATCAGCCTAATAGTGAGTCTACTTCCTAATATCGTTTACATATCTTATTTTCCTCAGGCGTGGCAGTTGAGCAAAAATTTTTGGTGTTTCCCTGTCTCAACATGATCAAAGATATCGCAGATTCCCAACTCTCCCTACTTCGTCCAGGAAGCTCTGAGATGTCTATAATCTACAACAGCGAAGGCTTTCCAGTAAGAATAATTAAAAATAATCAGGTACTGCACACAACGGCAAGCGATATCCGCTCTATTCATGTGAGCTTTCCCCTATTTTTTAAAAAATTTTGATCCTATCTATATTCATATTTTACAGGGCATGAGTAGTCCGGTCAGTGAGCATCTACGGAATGGATTCCCCCTAGAACGTAGCCCACAACCGACTACTAGGCCTCCTTCAGTGAAACAGCGTGCAAGAAGTCTACCCAGGAGTAAGTTTTTGATGGTTAGGTTTTGCAATTTCAAAATTTACAACATTTGTTTAGGAATAGTTGAGAAGGATCCCTTCGAAGGATTGGAAGGTGGATGGTGGAGCAAAGGCGAAGTGCAACGTAATAAAGTGGGTTGTGAAGATATTCTCTTAACTTTTTAACATCCATGGTTTGATGTTTTTTGCAGGAGCGGCGGAATTTGGTCGACCATGGTAAATCTCTGGCTGGAGGAAATTTC